TCATGGTGACCTGGCCCAAGTGGTTCCAGAGGTGAAGCTCGCGATGGTGTTCTGGCTCGATGTTTGAGCCCTCCCAGGTCCAGGAATCATATTCACGATCATGCCTGGCTCGATTAGGTCCAGAAGTGAGATTCGCTACAGTCATGGGCCTTACCTAATGAACAATGAATCAGGAACGAAGCCCATTTTTTCAAAGGAAAAACGCATAACGAACGATAAATGATCCGCCGGCCCCCTTGTGGGGCCACCAGGCTGTAGGCCTAAGGTTCGCAGTTTCCTGTACCAGTTGCAGCTTCCAGTTTCCACTGTTACAGTTCTGCTTCTTTGCAGCTTCCAGTTTCCACTGTTACAGGTCTACGCCCTGAGCGTATGCTCTGAATTGCTGGGGTGGCTAAAAAATTACACCCCTCATGCAGATCTGCGGGGTCAGGGTCCAAAAACAGAGGGGATGCGCCACATTTCTGACATTTGCTGGCACCCTCACGCAGATCGGTGGGGTCAGGATGCAAAAACAAAAACACAAGGGATTTGCCACATTTCTGAAATTTGCTGGCACCCCTCACGCAGATCGGCAGGGTCAGGGTCCGAAAACACATGGGATGCGCGACATTTCTGAAATCCGGCGGCACCCCTCACGCAGATCGGCAGGGTCAGGGTCCAAACACACACGGGATTTGCCACATTTTTCCCTACCTAGGGTCTGCCTAGAAGGGTTCTTACTCTCTTGGCTTAAAGGGGCAGGGCAGTGGAAATCGCCCCTGGCGGTTCCCCCAGTCCCCTGGGAGCCAAGCAAAAGCAACAGCAAAGGTAAAAGCAAACGCGCGGTTCCCCCAGTTGCGCTCCCTGGGTGCCAAGCAAAAGCAAAAGCAAAGGCAAACGTGAAGGCAAAAACGAAGGCAAAACAAAAGCATATCATAGCATAGCATACCATAACATAGCATAGCATAGCATAGCATGGCGCAGCATAGCATGGCGCAGCATAGCATAGCATAGCATATCATAACATAGCCTAGCCTAGCGTAGCCTAGCCCAGCATAGCATTGCGCAGCATAGCATAGCATAGCATAGCATAGCATAGCATAGCATAGCATAGCATAGCATAGCGCAGCAAAGCATCCACTATTGCTGCTGCTACGACGATGAGGAGAAGGAGGAGGACGGCGTTTACCGCTCCTACTAATGTTGCTTTCCTAGAGGCTCCAACTCCTAGGTAGGCTCGCACTGGGATAATTGAAATTCGGCGGCACCCCTCACGCAGATCCGTAGGGTCAGGGTCGAAAAAACAAACAGGTCCCGACACTGCTTCACGGCGGTGCCCAGACCTCATGATTTAGCTTTTGCATATCCCATTATCCGAGACAGGGGGCCGGCGGCATGGGGCGAAGCACATACGGATAAATAACGCATGAAGAAGGATAAATAACGCATGCAAGCCTAAGGAACGACCGAGCCCCTTTTGAAAAGTAAGTGTTCCTTGCTCAAGCCGCTCACTGTATGTTTCTTTCTTTCGGGGGAGGCGTCTCACCGGCACGGCGGCTGTCTGGAGCCGCCTCTCTTTAAATTGTGTTGGCTCGACTTTCATCCTCGTTGATCCAGATTGAGCGTTTGTCCCTAACCATCCTCTGGTGTTGGGTCCTCGTGTTGAAGAGACAGCGCCCCGCGTCCCTTCCTCCCGTTGCCCTCCCTCCCTCCTCCGACTCTTAGCCTCTGCCCTCCGCATGTCTCTGTTTCGGCACACCCCTCACACCACACGTCTCGTGACCCCATAGGGAGCTCCACCTTCCCCCGTGGCGGAACCCGCATGGCATCCCTGCCCAATTTTGGCACACCCCTCACACGTTTCGTGGCCCCATAGGGAACTCCACCTATGGTCCCAGTGGCGGAACTCGCGTGGCGGCGCCGCCCCATTTTGGCACACCCCTCACACGCTTCGTCCCAGTGGCGGAACTCGCATGGCATGCTCGCCCCCACTTTTGCACACCCCTCACGCGCTCCGTGGCCCCATCGGGAGTTCCACTCAAGGTCCTATTGGCGGAACTTTCATGGCATCCGCGCCCCATTGTGGCACACCCCTCAAACGCTTCGTGGCCCCATAGGGAGCTCCACCTAAGGTCCCAACGCGCTTCGTGGCCCTATGGGGAGTTCCACCTAAGGACCTAAGGTCCCAGTGGCGGAACTCGCATGGCATTCCCGCCCCAGTTTTGCACACCCCATCGCGCGCTTCGTGGCCCCATCGGGAGTTCCACCAAAGGTCCTATTGGCGGAATGTTCATGGCATCCGTGCCCCATTTTGGCACACCCCTCACACGCTTCGTGGCCCCATAGGGAGCTCCCCCTAATGTCCCAATGCCGGAACTCGCATGGCTTTTCCGCCCCCATTTTGGCACACCCCTCAAACGTTTCGTGGCCCCCATACGGGGCTCGACCGAAACGTCCCAGGGCGGAACTCGCGTGGCGGCGCCGCACCATTCTGGCACACCCCTCAAACGCTTCGTGGCGCCATAGAGAGCTCCACCTAAGGCCCCACTTGCAGGGTTCGCGTGGCGGCCCCGCCCCACTTCGGCACACCATTCACACGATTCGTGGCCCCATGGTGACCTCCACCGAAGGCCCCATTGGCCGGGTTCGCATGGCGGCCCCGCCCCATTTTGGCGCAACCTCACACGTCTCGTGGCCCCATAGGGAGCTCCACCTAAGGCCCCAATGGCGGAACTCGCATGGCGTGGCCGCCTCCTTTTTGGTACACCCCTCACAGGTTTCGTGGCCACACATGGAGCTTCAGGACAAGGGAACGGCGCTCTGGGGCAGTCTATGGTGCGGGCAGTCCGGAGCTGGACCTCGATCCCGTGGGCTCTCGCACTGGGCCGTCGGCTGCCCGGCGCGCTGCTCCCTCGGCCGACGTCGCCCAGGCGTGATCCTGGACTGCGGCCGCCAAGAGGTCGGGAACGGCAAAGAGGAGGACGACGACAGGTGGCTGGAGCTCTATGCGCTGCTCTCGCGCGCCACGCGCCACGAGGACCTTCTGTTCATGCGGACGCCGCGCATCGAGTTCTTCCTGGCAGGGCCGCCGGAGAGCTTGCGGACGCAGCTGGAGCAGATTGCGGCGCGCACGAAGCGGCGCAGAAGAGAGGCGACGGCCCTCGCCAGGGAGCTGGGCTTCACCGAGT